TAAATGTCTATTTTTTTCAATTTTTGCTAATCTCGTGCTTGTTAAGAGTTTATTTCTATTTATTTATTCATTTTAAACTTTTACTCATTTTTCAACTACTTATAGTTAAAATGCTGGGAAGTGATTCTGGAACTCAAGAAAACGTGCGCAGATGATCTTCTCTCCCATGCGTCACATACAGCTTTTACTGTTTTTTTGAGTAAATAAATCTAATCTAATCTAATCAATCTAATCTAAATACATTATTATTTGTAATAATAAGTTTAGGTTTGTATTTGAATAAGTAATGGTACATTCACCTTTTCAGTTTTCGTCATCATTTATTGAAATAGTTCTATCAAACACATTTGACCTATTGTTTGTGAAATATGGAAATATAGTGATGAATTCATTTAAGTTATCATTAATGAATAACTGCTACACGTCATGGGTTCAGCAATATCACTCGCCAGAACAGAAGAAATCATTATTTAATTACGAGGAAAATTGCTTACTATGTTCATTTTCCAAAACCGTACACCATTTCCAATCATTCGTCTCGCATAAAGCTTTCTTTATCAACTTTCAGCACACAGAGTTGAAAAGTCAGTACTTTTTTCACAAGCCGATAAAATCTTAATAGATTGTTTCACGGTGCTTGGTATGGCTGGAGGGTAGTGCGAAAGAGAAAAATATTCTCCAGCAGAAGCGACAACCCGACGTCAGTCGGGAACGTCACCTTAGAATGTCGCAAGCCCTGAGGACGCGTACCGAGGTTTGATTGATGCTTCTGAGTACATCAACTGGTACGTTGTTTAGTCTCGTTAGTATAGTGAATATTATTTTATCGCGGTAAGTGGCGGTGTTACTTCTCAGATGGATGGTGTGATACAGAGCTGACCTACACTTCGGCTTGCGGGAGATTCCAGGTATATCCAGTAGGGCACTGTCCCAGCAGGGACAAGCTCTAAGCTCCCATCTTGTCTCCCGACATCGGTGGTAGAATAGTGTATTCAAGTGTAAGAGTACGTGTATGTGAGTAAGAAGAGAGGATAGGACACGAAAGAGGAAGGACGAATCGCCCGAGGTCGGTCGCCGGTTTGTTAGGTTACTCCGGCATTCGTAAGGTATTGATCGGTGAAACCACGAAAAACTACCTATTAGAGCAATTGACCGCTAGAATTCTCATCCATTTAGCTATTTAGCTAGTGCCAGAAATCCGGCACCGTTGGCATTGGAACTGTAAGAACGTCCGGCCGAAGTCGCTTCAGAGACAAAGGCGTTGAGCTAAACTCACCCGGTATGTCGGTGTTGGCAGGCGTTATGTTTCTTTAAAAACACTTCATTACGATGAATTTACTAATATCAATGCATTTTACCGTTAAGTTTAGACAAACTCTCTTGGCACGAACATTTTCTGTAACAAGCAAAATGCTGAGTGAACGCACGAGAGAACGCTACCATAATAGTTTATAGAAGGGTGCCTTGATGATGATCGTTGTTGGTTGAACGGCGCTGGGAAAGCTATCAGAGTGCACGAGTAAACCAGGTGCCTAGCACCGATCTGTGTTACTGAGCATGGCCTTTTCCGTACATTATGCTACGAAATTCAAGCTAATTGGAACTTACGAGACATTTTCCTGGACTTTTCTGTTATGGAAATTCTGGTGTATAAAATACGAAAGTTTCCCTAGAAAAATTTTGTTTCCATCTCTATTTATTTTCTTTAAATGTTTATCATGCTCTCGGCACTTTTTATTGCCCATTTTAACGTACAGGTTTCATGAACTTTAGAAGAAGTAGACAAGCATCCAAAATAGCAGGTTACATGACATACCTATTACATTCCAATGCTACCTCATGCATTTTTAAAACCTCAATAATGTCATTACAACATCATCGTCCTAATCGTCCGTCATCTTTATCATGATCAACAAAACCCACAACGTCACAACTTCAAACTCGTATGGTTTCCAGAAAGCTAAACATCCCTCATCTTTCAACTTATTTGTATTTCTTACACTTATATTCGTCTCTGTTCAAAATGTCAAATCTCAAGATCAGGATAAGAAGCTAATAAAGCAGGTTATCAAATTTTCATGATGTGAAGTATATAACAATGATTGTGTCCTTGCATGTGTTTTTTGATAGAACATTTGATTAGTGAGATACAATATAGTTGCAAATAAAAAATGTAATGGCTCAAGGAAATGTAATGGCTGAATCAGCCTATCACGTTTCAAAACTACTGAATTGTTTAAACATATTAAGCTCTACGTGTCGTTTGGACGTGTGTGAGTAATCCATTCTATGACAAGAAAAATTCTTGAGAACTATCATATCATGTGAAGAAATGTATAATTTCTTCAAACTATAATCTACCATAACATCTTGTTTGACAATTTATCTAAGAAAAGTCATGTCGTCTCTAATTATAATCTTAATAATTTTTTAACTTTTTGTTTTATTCCTCCACCACTTATCAGAACAAAAGTATTACTGTTCTCAATATTAAAAGGCCAGGTTGATGTTACTTCAACCGGTGCGAAAACTTTAATAAACACTTACTTTACGCGCACTTCAATGTGGCTAAAGCAGTAACTCTAAAATATCTCTAACTAAACATTACAGTTAGTGCCTCCACGGTGGGTTGATGTGACTCATACAGTATCTACACAAACACCACCTGACCGGTTAGGCAGCATGAGACTTAGTGTACCCAAATACAAATCCTTCATATCAAGGTATGTCAACATACTCTGGAAAGTAGTCAAGTAAATATTATTATTAATTAAAAGAACACGTCGTTATAAAAATCAGGCCTTCAGTCGTGTAGCTTACATCGATATAAATGAATTTAAAGGTTACGTTTTCTTTCGTAATTCTTTAACTATTTCGTAATTATGATGTATAATATTTTCCCAGTTTTGAGAAAGTGTGAGTGCTAACACTTCTCACCTTTTTCTCTGTTATGGAAGGTTGACACTCGTTCCTCAGAGTGTCACCGAGGCGTGCTTTGCCCGAGATGTCTGCCATCGGTTTTACACCTCCAGTGTTAATGTGTTGGTACCTGTTGGTGCAACGTTCCTTACACTGATGTGTGTCAATTACTTCTCGTCAGTCTACAAAAAGACGTATGCCTCTGACATTAATGGAGTCGAAAGTTATCACTAGAAATGGTATTTACATGTGACATCGAAGAACAGCATTATTGATTTAACAAGTAAGCCATCGATATGTGCAGTGGACAATTAGGGATGTGTGTAGTGATGTATACTAATGGGGGATAATAGAATAATTTATTAAAACATTTAAAAAATATATAATAGGGGTCTTTGCTATTACAGATTTCTGTTTCTTATTTATTGAATTTAACTCATTCAAATTGGCAGTGCAGTGAACAATGATATGTTTTCAAGTACTCCAAGTTTTTTGCTGATCGGTCACAAAATTCTTGGCAAAGTACGTTGTTCCTATGCCTCTTATCACAAATAGGAATTTTGTTTTACAAAATGAATATGGTGGAATGTCCTGAAAAAGTAATAATCTGACCCTTGACAATCCGACACATTGCTAAATATCCCGAATTTCTTTTCGATAGCTTTTCCACCTCATGCCACACTAGCGCCAATTTTTCATAACCTAGACCTCAGTTTTTGACCACAATTACCATTGTATAAGTAGGTGCAGGGAGAGGAAAACATACAAAGAAAAATATGCAGTGTTTTTTACATATAATGATTGTAAATATGGGAAAACCAACAGATATTACGAACATGTAAAATAGTTTGATTATAATTAACCGAATATACTATTTTCTTGTAGATATTCTTGTTTTCCTTGCACTGAAACAAGTAAAAAAGTATTCGAATACTTGAACGTTTTGGCAGTATTTATCATCATTCGGGGTTTCATACAATATTTATAAGTCATTCATCCTTATTTATAATTATAACAAAGCAAAAGAGTTAGTATATTCTGCTCTTTTGGAGATACCAACACATCTATAAAAAGTGATTACGTTTTTCTATATGTCGGTTTTCCCTGTTTATTTTTGACCTTGCGCTGCACTACTCATAAGTCACTCATGACCGTCGTTAAATACTGTACAGTTAACCTTCACACACGATTCGTTCGCAGCGATAAACCTTTCCAGCACATTCTGAAAACTAGTTATTTCCTGAATGCGGTAATGATTCAGAATTTTGAAATTCTAAGTACTTTTCCTTTTTATTAATGTGACGAAACATGATGTTTCATAAAGAAATGGTATATACCTAGAAACATGGTAGTGTGGAATATACCCAGCAGAAAATAGCATATAAACATGTGCCTGCTCATGAACAGTTACAGTACAGGGACATTTTCACGTGAAATAACCACAGGTCTTACGCTGAAGAATACTCAGTCGCTAAGAACTCAGCCACCACTAAATACTAAGTGATAGCGACCAAAAGACAAGCCTTGGATGCCCTTCAAGTCCCAAACAGTTGCAATAATGGCAAGCTATAAAGGCGATAAAATACGAAATAATAATCATTAACATAAAAACAATGGATAATTCCAACTAATTTTGAATTAGTGCTAGTTATTCCTTTGGGTGCAGTTTTTAAACTTAGAAAATATATTAAGTTCTTTCTTATATATTTTCAGATCTCTTGAAAGCTCCGCTTGAGCCATAATTAACTAAATATATTCTCCTCTCACTATGTTCTATGATAAAATCATGCCCTCTCATTTTCATAAAATGTCCTTTTTCCAGAGTTCCAATATAAATTATTATTTATTCCCTATCATTAAAAAACCTATTTTTTTATCACAGTTTAATATAAAGTTGTGTTGTGGGAAAGTTGAAAGATGTAAAGAAGTGTATGTGTAAATATTTAAGTGCACAAAACACATGTTGGTTAAAATACATTTAAAATTACTACATAACATTGACGCTATAGTAATTAAGACGACATGCTTTCAATTTAAAGTTTATCGTCACGAAATGCTTCATATGTTCCTTCTCTTTCCAGAACAAAACCATGGGGAAGCCGGAGGAGGCGAGTCAAGGAAGCGAAGTAAATAAGTCAGGTGCAGATGACTCGTAAGTATCATGTGTACATTTATACGAGAAAAATTACAACTCTACCGACAAACATTGGGATGCACGTTCGAGTGAAAATTATCTAAATATTGCCCCAGAAATACACATCTAAAAACGTTCAGAAATGTTTAGAAAAGAGGATTCATATGAGTCTCTAATTCCTATGAAGTAGCACACGGTGTCAGTGCTGATGACAGCCCAAAATAAATCAACCCTTCCATTTCAATGCACAATGTTCGAAACCATTCACCTGCCGACTTATGTTCATGCAGGTTCAATGGTGGTCCGTGTCTTGGGAATGAAGAGCCATAAATACGACAGTAATTTTTTCCATTAAGTAAGCCGTATACGTTTAGGGCCATTTCTAGGCCGTTGACGCAGGTTGAAAACTCCCGAATTTTGACGTGTGACGTTTAAGATCACGGTGCTTACGGCCCAAGTGAGCCGGATGTACGCAATCTGACTCGCGAGTGAACTTTTTGTTTTTACATAAAAACGAAGGCCTTGAATGTTATGTAATACAGATTTGTCTAAAAATGCAAACACTATTTTTTTCTAATAATGCCCATTTATGTATGTTCATAAGATGTAAGAGGCGAAAAAGGCATATTTACGAGAAAATAATATATACGATTTTTTCGCAGGAATACTACTTACAACAATTATGATGCTGAGGGCGCAGATTATGACCCATTTGCAGAGCGGAGAGTGACACACCCTACATCGTAAGTAAAGCTACGAAGAGAATAATTAATCAAACATCCCTACAATCCGAAAAGATTCCTAACTGGAAGTATGGTTCCTTTTGGAAATTCTTCCCAGGCGTGTAATTCCAAAAGACGTTGACTATCAGTGTTTTGAACAGCTTTCCAGAATTAAACAATTTTTATATGTAGTTGCAAGATTGCGACTGAAACATTGTAGATCGGAAGGCCCTGCTTTAGAGTTACAACTGAAGTGGATTTTCGACACAAAGTTTCTGGGTCCGCCGGCTGTTGCTTGGATGAAAATACTAACGGTCAGCTGCTCAGATTGGCTGAATCTATGGCGTCTCTGATTAATTCCAGACGAATGCCAGAGCATAAGTAATCAAATTGCCACATATCACGCACGACTCCTCTTTCCCCATCCTGACCCCATAACCATGTCGAGTGTGGGTTAGGGTGTCTGAGGGCATCACCTGATGCCACTGCAGTGAATATGACAGGTGGTCCGACAGGTGGGGTTCGAGCCCCGACGGTAGCAGGACTTTAAACACTAGGCAGATAGGTCGAAAGCGAAAGCAGCGAAAGGCTGCTTTGAGTTGTAGTAATCCGTGGCTTCTCCTATTAATATCAGGCAAATGCTGGATCAGTACGCACCAGCAAACTAGCCACGGACCGTGTGTGATATTTCCTTTCTTTGCCTAGTCCTATGCTCAATCTCACTTACACGAATTCACTTACATGTACTACTCTACTACACACGCCAGGAGACCAGTCAGGAACATATAACTAGCCCGGCTGGGGCGGTTCCCATCTGATGGGAGACGCTTAGATGCGGGAAACCGTGCAAACCGCCGTTTAGATCGCCACCGTATCTCATCATCCAGCAGAGGAATAACACCGCCACCTCATAAACATGCACTACACTTACGAGGGCAAAGACTTTAGTCATTTACGTGTCCGGAAACGCGAAATAATCAACCTTAAGCGCCACAAAAACTAATACCCCATGGTCCGTCACTTCCTAACGAAGACAAAAAAAAGGCCAACCAATTTGATCAAAGACTAGAAAAAAATGAAACTGCAAAGTTTATGGTTAAAAACGATTTTCAAAGCGACGAAAATTGAAAATTGGATTTCGAATAAAGATTGATAAATGGCGAACAGGTGAACAGTCTAAGAATGAAGGAAACTCAACTATCCCCGCTCAAATGTACAACGGGTTGCAGCCCCGAAGCAAGTAGGGGTTAAGGGTGGCTCCAGACTGTTGTGAAAGATGGGGAAACGAATACAATAATAATAATAATAATAATAATAATAATAATAATAATAATAATAATTATTATTATTATTATTATTATTATTATTATTATTATTATTATAATTATTATAATAATTATTATAATAATAATTATTATAATAATAATTATAATAATAATAAATAATTCAAAAATATTACCGAATTATCTTTGATATTGACTTCACTGAAGGGTATAAAGTTTTGAGATGACATCCTTGTTTCTTAGGAGCAGTATTACACACAAACTCTTGGGTATTTTAAGATATTTTCAGAATTCAAGATTTTGATATTCGGACCGTAGCTACCAGAAACTCGTGTCTAAATTGGTTTTAAAATGATAATGATAATTTAATATCTCATTGTGATTAATTTGTTTCCTGTTACTAAAATGGCAGCTACATTTTATTCAAACTTTCGACTTCCTAGATGCGTATGATGCAAGGTTTTAATTGTGCTATTCCTAATCATCAGAATTCAGTGAAATCTCAATCAATAGAATGCTCTAATATCCTGACTTTATTCATTCCCCTTCACCCTCCTAATACTTTTGTGTTTGGCAACCCGAGTCTGGTAATACTGCAGTATTAAATAACTTCCTATTCATAAGGATAAGCAACCTCAAAAATCACGTTAAGTTTAAATCACCTCTATGGAAAATCAGCAAGGATTTGACAAACTTCTATCTGAAAGGCAAATGCAGAGACCAACGGAATGAAATATGCGGAAGGAATAGAATTTTCATGTGTGTAGTGTGATTTGACCTTCTGAGAAGACTTCTAGTCTTCCTTGAATCACCTAGGGATGGGGGTGAAAAGTTAGAAATATATTTAAGGTTTTGTTGGTGATAGACGAAATTGGGTGTGAGGATGAAAAACATACAATAGACCTACTGGAGCGTGAACTGTATGAATTTGATGGCAGTGAGGATGTACACACGTAAAACAATGCAGCCATTTCGTGACAAACTTGAAACAAAGTTTAGATTTTTAAAATTTTTATTTTATATTACATTCTGAGTAGGCCTATCATCAGAAAGACTTATCTGATGCATGCTCTACAACTGCCCCTGAATCTCCTGAGGGTTTTGCCCGCAAAAGATTGAATGGGCTCCCATATATTATTATTGTTATTTTTGTTTTTGTTATGTGTAGATTAAATGGCTCGTTACTCTATCGAATAAAATAAAGATTTCATCAGTACATAAAATAGCAAGATTTTCACAACTTTATTACATCGGATGTAATAAGGGCTACTCTGTGCAGTAAATGTGAAACCATTAATAACTTAGGCAGACAGATAGACAATATTTCAGTGCCAAAATAGCGATCGCATAAGCTAAAACTTAAATTTCACGTAGATAAAATAACCTTATATGTTCGTTAGTAATACTGCACACGCACTACCGCACTCGAATAATCATTTAACTTGCCTACAATGGTCTCATTTAGCCACTAATAAAATAAAAAACTAAACATATTAATTTGCCTTTCGGATTCGAGACATAAATGTTTTACTGTACTAGTCCGAATGAAATATACAGTGCTTTTTTAATAGCGTGCTTTTGTTTTGGTGTTGTTCAGCGACGCGGGAGCTTTGGCTCACCTGCTCAAGTGCAGTTTGGGCAGCGGCATCCTCGCCATGCCGAACGCCATCCGCAACGGGGGCCTGGTCTTCGGCGCCATCTTCACCGTTCTCGTTGGCCTTCTCTGCACCCACTGCGTCCATATTCTGGTGAGCGCACGGACATGCGTCATTCAGGAGCACGTGCACACGCAGCAGATTAGAGTTAATTCGACTCTGGACAATTTTAATAATTGCACCGATCGCGAAAGCATCTCTGAAGCATCTTTCATTTGGAAGATCCGATGGTGACGGGTTTTCGATACCTGCTTCATATCGGGGTTGCATTTAACGGCTACCTCGAGGAGAATTTTAGTGGAAGATCTTATCGGTAGTTCTCCATAATTTCTCCGGTCAATGCATTACGCGCATGTCGAAGCAGAATCTTAAAAAATGGAATACGATCTTCCCATTTTTACCTTTGCCCCCTACTTTGGACTTCACACTTTCACACACAGGTATTCAAATAATTGACATGCATTTTTCGAATCATATGATCATTGGCATTATTGGATTGTTAAAATTATTAAATAAATATAAATAAAGTTTGTTCACTTCAAAATATTCAAGTGAATCGCTAAGCAATTAATTGCTGGTTTCTAATTCTCACCTAAACGAATAGCAAAAATTGAACTCATTGAAACTTTTAGTAGAGTCGAATTTCTAGGAATTCTAATTATTACATTTTTCGGTTTATCTCACTCGTCTCGAATGTTTTGTTTGTGATGTTAGCAATAGTTTAATAGTGGTTGTATTAATTTTGGATGTTGCTGGGAAAATCAGCGAGAAGTATTAGTCTTCGAATTACCCAATAATTATTATCAAATGATAAAAAATGTATCGCGAATAAAAATGCTTTTTTTGTATTGGGACAATAATTCCATTGTTTTACATATTGTATTTAACTATTTTCACTATCGCGTTTTCGATCTATCAATCTATGTTCAGTACAAGAAATTATGGAGCATCAAGTATGCATAAACACTGCGCTTACAATAACACATTTTTTCAGAGCAGGATTATCAATGTTTGACACTTAATATATTTTGTTGAGCAATGTGCCATACGAATTGCTTTGAATTGAATTGCTGTGCCATACGAATTTTTGTTTGGATGTAATATTGTGGCTTTTAATACCTCTCTCAAATTTATATCTACATGTTATCGTAGACACAATGTATACAATTACGTGAGACAACAAATATTAAAGAACAATGATTCAACCAAGACATTTTACTTTGTGTAAGAAAAAATGTAATAAATTGTGCTATCAAATACAAACGTTTATGTAAACGACGTAGTGCATCAAAAACTCTGTTCAAAATGATGGTGTAGCAAAAGTAATTACGGGTTTATACAAACGCTCACTTCTATTTCTTTTTGCAGGTGAAATCCTCCCACATTGTGTGCAAGAAGGCGAAGAAACCGTCATTAACATTTGCAGAGACGGGAGAACAAGCGTTTGCCACCGGTCCCCAGTCATTTCGTAAATTTGCGGGGTTTGCGAAGTAAGTATTAATTTAGAAACATTAATACAACCTGTATTATGCCAACAAAATAGGAATACAAAAAGTTGTATACAATAGTTGTATTATGCCAACAAAATAGGATAGCTTACAAAATAGGAATACTTTTCTCGCCATACTTTTTAAATTAAAACGCTATAAAAAATCTGAAGGAATACCTTGAATTTCTAAAATAATTACTCGGACTGGAAAATAAGTTTAATGGAAGTTTAAAGAGTCGATTACCTATTACATGAGAATTCTGCATCTTTTGAGAATTTAGAGTATATCATTCTCTTTTCCGTAATATCCTCTTATTATTTCTTACATTATTCGTATTCTTTTAGTAGTTGGTGAATTCTAATTTAATGGTAAAAAATTTTCTTCAGTGGACAGTTTTCCTAATAACATAGTCATTTACCAAAAAAGCGCGCATCCTCCACATGGTAGAAATGGCAGTTATTAAAAATAAACTATTTTAGTATTTCTGTTTTCACCTTAGATTTCACCTGGTGGTTACAACCATACAAAATAATGGCTATTGAAAACTTATTTTTCATTGGTTTAAAAAAACATGGAAAAATCAGTATTTCAAGGATATTTGTACCCAAAAAGTTTTATTTACATTTTTACTAGTGTAACAATTTATTTTTACCTACTAGTACAATACAAAACATACGCAATTTAAGTAATGTAAGTAAAATACTTCGATTATAATAATATAGATGTATGACTAAACAGTAAAATACAAAGAAAATACGTTACTTAACACAGTGTCACCAACTTAACACTTAAAGGCTCAACAATGTTTATCCCTTTTTTCTGTTCAATTTTTCTTGCCGCTTCTACATACTGGCCAATCATAAACTGTGACTCATCTATCTTAGGAGGCGGGATACATTGATCGCTATGTCTATGACCAATACACAGCGTATGTACTATAACACAAACTCTTTGATTTTAACATAGCTTTCAGTTACTTAATATTTGCCGCATTTTGAAACTTTGTTGGACATAATTTCACTCGAGGAACAGTCCTATTAAATACCCCTCGTGCTTAGGAAACTCTCAGATAAATCCTCTCCTCGCTTCACGAGTCGGGAAGTTATGGACAATTTCCAAAGCACTCTTGGTATTACATACGACAAACAGCTAACGCAAATGAATAAATGGAACGTTAGTGTAATACACTGTAACATGGGTGGTGTCAAAATTTGTACGTGTTAAAGTATTTGGGTGAAGTAAGCTGAGTCAAACAGTTGCCAAATTTGATACGGTCAATCTAAATCGCTTTAAGTATGATAATAAAAGATGTTGTCTGGTATCAACAATATTTGGCTGATGATCGTTTCGATCGCGTAACGATCATCCTCAGAGCTTGCAGCTTCCGGGCCGAAAACTCGCTACGCGATCGAAACGATCATTAGCCAAATAAATTGTTGATACCAGACAACATATTTTATTTATCATATTTAAATATAAGAAGGTATCGACGTCACCAGCAATCTAACTAATACTAAATCGCTTTGTTCACACATTTCAAAGTCGACGGTAAAGCTCCGGTCTTCAGTCTCTATGATTAAGATAAAACATCCTTGAATCCAGTGAAAGCACATTTTTCAACTCCTTTAACATCAAAATAGAGATACGTCTTGTCTCTCTTCTCTCCCAAACTTTTAAAAATAATTTTTACTAAATTAAATACTCGCATTCAACACGTTCTCCATTTATCCACAATAAACTTGAGTTCTTTGTCAAAAAATTTCTCTTTGGTGAGGAATACTAGGACGTCGTGTGGGCGGGCGAGATGGGGCAAGGTAGGGCTAGGCGAACAGAGAGGAGATGCAGGGAGACAGGGGAGGGCGAGACAGGGACAGCTCGGTTGTAAGTAAAATGATTTCCATTTTTCACTATTGATATCAATAATTGCGTTTCCTGTGAAATAGATGTTTTTGATAAATAAACCAGGTCAACGCCGGAAAACTGCGACTCGTAATATTTAAACTCATGGAAAATGTGTATAATCTTTTTTAAAATATTTTACATATAATTAGGGGTGGAGATGTACAGATTCAAACCGATTCAAACTAAAGATGACTTTAATATTGTAATAACTTAATACTTTAGATGCATTCAATGAAAAAATTGCATTTGGTTTTACCCCACTTCGATTTCGTAAAACTGAGAACTAACTATTCCACAAAATTTTACTATTACTGATGACATTATTTCTAAATCGAAATGGTGTGTCACCTAGTACTGAAATAATATGATTATCATTAACATTTTTTAAATAAATTGTAGGCGTAATGATTATTATGTAACATTTTTTCGCCATCCTTTGTTTCAGAGGATTTACGAATGGGGCTTTAATTGCAACTTACTATGGAGCTCTGGCGGTTTACATAGTATTCGTGGCTGAGTCACTAAAAAGGGTAAAAACAAAATCATTATTCTTAGTAGAACATACATTTTTTAAGAATTCTATTGGTGATTTAATATTAATAAATAGAAGTAATCGTTCATTGAAATTTGATAGAAGCGTCGTACTTACAAAGGGAAAAGGAAAAATACTTATTTTTAAGATAAGCGAGCGTATGTATCGTGTGACTCGTTCACTTATTTTTTCCTATCAATTGGTAACGCCACAAACTTTAATTTAGTTTTTTCCATTGTACAGCATTATACATGTATCCATTCCCAGAAGCAATTCTCACAGAACCGCGAATGTTTTATAATTGAATTGTACAGATTGTCCCTGTGTAAATATTACAAACTTCTAGAGCGAAATTAATTAATTTGTGTAATTTATAAAAACAAGAATGCAGCAAAATGTTCAAATTAAAAAAATGTGTCCTCTTAAGCAGTAGAATTAGCATTATCTACATGAAAAATTTTAAAACAAAGTAGAGCCATTTTTGAGAAAAGGACGTTTTCTGAATGGGGAATTTTGAGCTCATTTTCACAGAAGACTTTTGAACTTTCGAGAAACGTTATACAAAATCATTTAATGCGCATGTACCCATTAAAACAATAATGTGAGCAAATCGCCGCTAATGTAAATATTAACGTGAGAGACAAGTCGAAAAAATAATTTGTTTTAATTTTTGAAAAAGCAAAAGAATACAGAAAAATGGCGTTTATGTCATCTCATGGAGTGCATTTTGCACCATACTTACCAAAAGTTTAAAGAAACAAATTTTACCTTTTTTAGAAAATCAGGAAGTTATTATTTATTTATTTATTTACGGAATAATCCCACAGAGAAAGAATTGATATAAAAATATTTCAAAGAAAAATGGATATTTATTCGTGTCCGTATACTCTCGAAATGATCAAGTCGTGATATGGGGTGTCGGTCAGTAAATGCCAAATGTATCAAATATCAGTTCTTAACTCTTTCGATCATCACTGCGTTTAATAACTTGAGGTAGAGCATTGATAAAGTTGTTAAATAATAAAAGATCGAGATGGGAGCCTTGCGAAACACGTCAGGCAACATTGTAATATACCGAGTTACTGTAATTGAAGAAGACAAACTGTTCTCTTTCATTTAGATAGATCCGAAAACAAGTAAGTTATATGTAATAATCCCCAAAGATCTTAAATTAATTGTTATTTTTTTACATCCCTTCGCTTTTTTGTCGTATCTTGGAGTGGACAATTTATTTATATATTTTGTTGTTGTTTTTCAGGTTGTTGACACCAACGTAGAATGTGACAAACAATTGGATATTCGAATATGGATTGCCATGCTTTTCGTTCCACTATCTCTATTATGCTTAATACGAAACCTGAAGTATCTTGTCCCGTTCTCGTGGTTAGCTAATTGTTTCATCATAGTTGGATTTGCTCTCACACTTTACTATATTTTTACTAACTTGGGAGATCCTAAAGACTTGCCAAAAGTGGGAGAAGTTGGAAATCTTCCTCTTTTCTTCAGTACAGTAATATTTGCTATGGAAGGCATAGGAGTGGTACGTCAATTTGTTCATTTTTCTCAATACTGTATGCATTGCTTTATATGACTTTAAATACAAATGTTGTGACAGGTGATGCCAGTTGAAAACAGTATGAAGAATCCGAGTCGTTTTCTTGGATGCCCTGGAATTCTGAATATCGCTATGTCCATTGTTGTTTCCCTGTATGCAGTCATTGGAGTTGCTGGATATATTGCATTTCAAAATGGCACACAAGCTAGCATTACATTCAACTTGCCAGAGAACGACATGTAAGTAGAACTTTCAGTAACAGCCAAATATTTACCACAAGGGAGTGCATTAAAAATATTTTTCAAAAATAGTTTATATAAATATTTTTGTACACACCTTTAAAGTTGCATTTTACATTCTTGCCCGTAAAATTTAACATCGTTCAGCCTAAAAAGATATTAGTACAAAATTAAGCGAAACAAAGGTCATATGAAGGGAATAAACAGTTAATTATTTTTCTTCTGTTGGACATTTAATTTTATTCTGAATACCATACGTGTGGCATTTGCCCCTGAATAGTAGGCAACTAATATTCTGGTAGCTAGTTACCACATCACGTTCCAACGCATATTTGTTGTACCCGCCAAACGCTATTGCGTGGGGTGTTGCCGACAAATCAGGGGCAAATATCACATTTCATGTGTAACTCCGTTACATGAAATTTCCCACCACAAGTGTACTGGCAAAAGCTGCTCATCTTTGACTCCCTATATGCCCTAAAAGTGTGTAACATTTATGGCGAGACATTGTTGAGAATTGTTTCAAATTATTTACAAAACTGTTACATCTTCGAATGTTAAGTAAATTTAACTCGATTATTTGCCACATTTGTTTAGCTACACTTAGATCCACTCTTTTCGATGACACTGCATACACTGTGCGTTTCTCAGATTCAGTATGTTCCGGAGTTATTTGCTTATGAAAGAGCTTGACATTTAATCTCCTGACTACTAAATTACGACGGACATATCAATAATGTTAAATATTATTTGCGTGTAGTGGGTTCAACTCAATGTGTGGTTTATATTCATCGCCTTTGGATATTTAAGATGGTGATGGTATGAAGGTGGCTGTAAAAAGCAGGGCAAGAAAACAACCGATGGCTGACCAAGGGAGAAGTAGTGATCACGTAAATATTCTGATTTCGGCTACTCTCCATAAACGAAGATTGTGTAACCTTTAAAACACGTGGATAGCGCGGAATTGGGCTAAGCCCGCTCTCCTTTTCCGTCGACAATTGTGGCGGAGACACGTGGTGATGGCGGTGAATTTTGACCATAAGTAAGGGGAACTTTTTCTCTGCTACTAAAATATTGATGATAGACATGTTTCCTTACTGAAATCTCTTTCGTAAAGAAGAATTTTGAAAGAAGTTTATGAACAAGTTTACCAAAATTATAGTACTTTTCACATAATTTTGCGTTAAATTATGAGCGAGTAAGTACGTGCTATTTTAGCATCACCAGTTCATGTTCCGAACGGATACGAATAGTAATTCCATTCAATATTTAAAAAACTGTGAAATTTAGAAGCTTAACTTTTCAAGAAAAGCGCGATGATAAACCTCACGTTTTCTATTTTTGCATGCCCCCCCCCCGCCATGAATTAAAGGCACCAGCCACCTCTGATCGTTACATTAGAAATCCAGGCATCCAATATACGCGCCGCGCCATTCCCAGAGAGCAATACAGAGCTGCCACCTTCTCCACAAAGCTGCTGAACCCCCCCCCGCCGACTACTTGCGGCGCTCTCGCGGGCAGACCCCCAGCTCTTGAGTGCAGAATTTCCGTGCGAGCAGTACACACTAAATGGCATATGCATTTACTACAAATTAATGCCCGTAACGTGTGACCGTTCCATACATGTTCGTAACGTGTCCGTTCATTGTGAAGTGATGATGCACATGGACAAAATAGATGGCCGCGGTTTTGAAACATGGCCGACACGTCCTTTGAGTCGGCTAGCCTGCCTCTAGGGAGAGAGTTAACTCAGTTGGTCAAACATTTCTGTTTGGAAGCTTTATTACCCCAGGTTACATACAGGACTAGATTGACCATTGGCAATTTTGGTAATTATGCCAAGAGAATGCGATAATATATTCCAGCCTTCTTGTTCTTCATTTCATAGATTAGGCTGAAGTCTGTTCAGTCTTCACAAGTTTTCCTTCCATCGTTTTTTGGGTCTTCCCATATCGCTTCTTCCATGTAGTTGATACTGTTAGTTTAGGTTGTCTGGAATTAGCAATCCTTTATTTTTGTTGATACCAGTTGTTTCGGTATTTAGTTATTTTGCTTCCAATTTCTTCGGCATGAAATGTTTCTCTTATCTTCTCCTTTCGAATTAGATCTTTCGTGCAGCCTAAAGTTCTCCCCCAGGAACTTCATTTCAACGGTCTGTATTTTCCGTGGGTTTGTTAACCCAACGTTTGCTGCCATAGAAAACAAATTGGAAGAGCCGTAGTTTCATAAAACTTCATTCTTGTATCTTACCTTACCTGGTATTATGTTTAGTGTTTTATGTATATTATACTAAACATTCTTTGAAATTTTGCCAATTTTGTATTTATATCTTTATTGGTATTTTGATAAATTTGACAACCTAAATAGCTGAAACTGGAAACTAGCTCCAAAATGATTTGATCCAAAATAATTTTCGATTTCATTAGTTTTCCCTACATAGCCATTACCTTGGGTTTTCCTTGGATATTTTAACATCGTATATTTACATAAATTACTTCGGTGAAACAATGCATTATCATCCTCTGTTTTCTAAAATAGTATAAAGTGCCGTCAGCATACAGTAAAGAATTTAAAACAGTTTCTCCTGATAACTAATTACCATTGTAAATTATTTGCTCTAATCAATCAATATAAATATTAAAAGGTGTCGGTGAGATTAAGAATCCTTGTCGCACTCCTCTGTTTGATAATATAGTTTATCAGTTTCATATTTTCCTAATTTTATTACAATAGTAAAGCAATTTTTATTACTTCTGTTAATTTTTTAGGATAACAAGTTTTTCCATTGTAGACTAGAGCTCGGTTCTATTTACATACAATGATTTTATAGTATGCATTATAAAGATCCACAAATATTTCAGTGAGAGCCAGGGTGGCCAGATACTTTTTGTGAAAATCCTCCATCGGAGGGATAAAAATCCATCCAATTCCGTCCAATAACCGAGTGGTGAAAATGGAGAGTGAGTGATCAAGTTCTGACATTGAGGCTGATAATATCAAAATAGTTGCACTTTTACAAGATGTTTAAAACTAAATACCCATATGCATAAAGCCTACCTATCTTAAGCCATTAATATTTATACAACGTTTAGAAAAGGGAGTGTATGATTACACGTTTGTTTAAATTTAAAAAAGCTTTGAAATGTTTTCATAGTAGCTGAACATTTGAGAGAATTTCACAACTAAAACTCGTGTGCGTAGGGCATATCTTTCAGAAGACATCAATATTTGCACATTTATTAGAAAAATATGGACACTGTTGATTTAAACAAAAAAGCATCTAATGATCCAAAATTTTCGCGGGAAAGAACGAATTTCTTCCATTGGGCAGAATCCCTCTAAATTAATTTACTTCCCACAAGCCGACGCCTTTTTCCCCCAAATTGACAGAATTCTGCCCAATATGGTATCCCTTGTGAGAGCATATATCGCAGTATTGAGGGCAATATTTTGCCTTGGTTAGCACTTTGCATGAAACAGCTCTTTGCTGACGGAGAGGACCATGAGGCTCTGTGATGTTTGTCACCTCCCCAGAATGGTTGGATAAAGAGAAGACACAATTATAAACAGTGTTCGAGATTGTGAGTTTTCAGCGGGGTATAGGCCAAATTTTCTCCTACAAGTAGAGAAATGTATCCTTGCTACCAGTGCGCTGGTAAGTCACCAGGTTCGAAGGCTGTCAACACAGTTGATCAATCTGTTACTAGTAAACCAGAAAACACAGATTGTTTATATTCCTTGCTTGGGCACAACTGCATTTGTGAGTTAGTTAGTGAGTGGGCGTGGACGTGAGCGTGGGCGTGAGTGTGAAGGACGACCTGACGAAATGGTTGTTTAAAAACAGATAGCTGCAAAGTATACAATTACCTGTTTTTGATAACAGTAACATCTGTACGCAGTATCGTAGACAGCCATTTTCAAGGAATGCATATAAATGTTATTCAAATCAATTCATGCTTATAAATTGTTTATTAATAACATTCTCTTTTCACAGAATGACACAGATCGTGCAAATTTGTGTGGGACTGGCGATAATGTTTACCTATCCCCTTCAGTTCTACGTCGCTACTGAAATTATCCTGAACATACTTAAAACGAAGATAGCCAAAAATAAATTCAGCATGTTCCAAAACTTCTACCGAGTGATTGTGGTTGCTATTACAGGTAAGCATAATGAACAAGTAGTGCTATAATGCGGCAGATTTTCTAGTAATTGTTATGTTAAGTTCTAATAATTAAATTGCAACTTGACCACTCTTATTACTTCAGTTCTTGCCAAACTCTTTTTAGCGTACTGCTGTAATAAAAGCACAGTATATCTATTTCCTATCTTTTTCTTGTAAGATACCATGAAAAGAAAACTAACATTATTGCTCAATTTGTGGACTACAATCCGTTATCAAAGACACCTTTAATAATGGTGGTTCGTGGTACAGTTTGCCGAGATTATCCATAACATTCAAATTGAAATAAAACTATAACCAATATTCGAGATTTAATTCCTCCATTAGTTTTAAAAATTATCAGAAATAATGTTTCTTCCTTCGAATAAAATCAATTGTTCGTGAAAATAAGTGAACTCCGATTTATGTGATAAACTATTTGCTGATCAATCAGGACGAAAGATGGCTATTTATTTCTTTATTTTATAAGAACGCTTTAATAAGAGTAATTTTATTACCTTTTTCGAACAATACCTTTCTTTTGTTTTTGAAAAGGAGTGTTACTTGTATAATGCAACTAGTACCTATATTAAATCCATTCTAACACTGGTGCTGTAATGTAGCCTCTCATACGGACATCAAGCATTATCCGCCCACGTTTTCTTTTCGCTAGACGCGAGAGGTGTGTTAGATTATTTTGACGACAGGATTATTATATAAAATTTGAAGCTCGTTTTTCGATGCACATTATTTTCCGCTAAATGGGAACGAACATTTTTGGTAATTAGATTTTGTCAAAAACTTTCGTCCCTATCATTTTTTCTTAATTCAATTAATGTTAGTGAAAGTAGTGGAATGGGATTCCGAGGCTCATGGGCGTATAATACACGAGTGTACTGATCTAATATATCATAGCACCATCCCATTTGTGGCTATTATACTACTAGATAATAAAATCCTTGATTATGTTCCTACGGACAAAGATATAAATGGTGCATTGCAGTAACGAAAATATTTGCTTAGGACTCATTGTCTGTAAACCATAGTGTATTGAGGGGAGTGTGAAATTTCCCGGAATAGGAGTTAACATCGGTAATATTTTAATTGGTTCATTGAAGATAATACAGTGTACGCCATAAATTTAAAAATGTCAAGGTATGTCGCAGCTCTTCATGATTTCAATAATATACTTTGACAATAAACTTAAAAAAGATGTCCGACACGGAGACGATGGCGGAGGCGGCGGGTGGGCCAGAATTGTTAGCAAGCCTCCACTGGGAAAGAAATACAAAACAGAATTTTTTCAAATTGTCATTCTTATCATTAAATTGACCTCTGATTTTTAACAAATTTATTTGTCATCACATTTATTGTATGTAACTTAAGCAGTTTTTTTTTGCAATGCCAAAATAGTGCTGCGCTTTATTTTTGTATATAAACTCTTCTAACAACTTTTGCAAATCGATTCAATCTGTCATGTCACTATAAACATGTAAAATTGTAATACTGTTGAGCCGATCTTGTCACATAGTTGATCGCATATACATTTTGAGTCGACGCAAAGCCGAGAAACTTCGTTCATTTCTGGAATTTGGCGTTTATGGAATATTTCTCTCAACACAAATTCCGAATGGGTGTTTTACCCTCTCTCAATTTTTCGTGTTGGTAATAGCCACTCACCATACCCACATTATCCGCCGCCCGCTAGTTTGAAATCATCTTCTTAACATTCCTTTCCCAAGCATTTTTGACTTAATAACAGAAAACGGTGTTTGTGTAAAGATTGCGTAATGTTAAAATATCGCAATCTTAATGTTATTAAACGAATAAGTATCATCGTCTTAATATGATATACTCAAAACTGTCTTTAAATGAAAACAGAATTAGACTACTAGATGTACTTAAAATTTTGGGGGTTGGGGCGTGTTTCCCCGCCAGTGACGCCCGTGTTAAAGACTATTTTATGCTCGGCAGTAACTATACACTCACAGTTTCGTGATCAATCATCATTTTAATTGCTCGTCACTGCTCAGAACGGTAAATTGTAACAACTAATAAGATAAATTACTATCAATTAGATCCTAAATATGAAGGGAGACAAAATTGTTGCTCCCCTTCTTGTTTTAATTTACACATGTTAATATTCACGTGTATGATAAAAATTTATTTTCCTTCTGAGAAGTACTTCCTCCGATGGTATTGGAGATCGTATCGAAACACAGAATCAGTCTATGAAAGAGTCACGCATACATGCTTTCTACCATGTACGTGTCCATAGTCCCTGATCAATGGTTGCGAATTTTTAGAATAGCTCATTACTTCGCCCCCTTGATTTTTCTGTAGGTCATAATTATTTTTTTAAGAACACATTTATGTAATTCACTCCACAAAGATAAGAGGATCACAGAAGCAATTCTTTCAGAGAGCAAAGAAAAATTGATTCAAATAGTATTACTAAACTATTTCAAATTATCTAATGTCTCTCAAAATGTTGCTTTATTTTTGAACTTCTTAATTATCTATATTGTCAATTGGCCTTGATAATCAGATTTCAACAAGTTTAACTATCAGATCCTTCTTTGGAAATTTTCTAATTCTTTGAATTCACTTAACTATTATTAATTTCATTGACACACTTACTTTTATTTTTTCAGTGGGTATTGCTGCAGCAGTTCCAAATTTGGGTCCCATTATTTCGTTAGTAGGTGCTGTATGTTTTTCCATTTTGGGATTACTGGTCCCAGCAGCAATTGAAATTGCAGCCTGCTATGATGGAATGCTAGGAAGATGGAACTGGATACTGATTAAGGATGTAATAATTATTATTTTAGCACTTTTGGCATTAGTGTCTGGCTCATATACTAGTATACTTGAGATTATTGATGAATATTCAAATCCAGAGGAGAGTACAACAGGCTGCAATGGCCAAACCACTTAGTAATTACTAAATCTTGAAGAATGACTGCTATCATTTTTCAATTGTCGTCATTTGCAGCCTCCACACATGACGTGAATGCTTTCCTGCCAATTTTAATCCCATTCTTAGGTATGAAGAGGGTGGAAAGTATTCTATTCATTGTACATTGTTTTCACATCCATTCATTCTCACTTGAGACATCCTCATAACTGAGGCTTGGATGAACGTAAATGTTTTACCCTTCCATTAATCCTTACTAAAAACGTTTAGCTTGCAGTTCTAGTTCTGAAAAGTAGGAGCATAGTGCAAATTGATATTTTTCTTCTGGGATATGTTAAAAAAAAAGAAGCTAGTGAACAATTGAAGGTGACGTGATGAAACAATTTTTTTGGGGGGGGAATATGATGAAAAATGTGCACTCAAACTTCAATTCTGCCTGTTTTGACTAATTCTTGGGATTCATTCAATTCCTTTGATTTCAACACCTTAATTTGAACATTTAAAGTGAGGTAACCATAAATGATGCACCTAGAAATGGATTATTTGTGTTCCTGGAAGGGAAAAATTAATATTTTCTTGGCAGGGAGTATCACTCTTGAGAAGGGGATATGCCCCAACCCTGGTCCCTAGCCCTCAAACACCAACATCACCTGAATAATACACCCTTCTGCTAGAATAAAAAAACCCTAAAGAAATGAAAACATTTTGTGACAAATATTAATGGATAGTCCTGGATTGTAGAAATTGTTTAAAATAATAAAATATGAAATTTTAATTGTAGCCCTACTGAAAATTTGAAGTGCGAAACATATTCTTCTCTGAGTTATTTAATTATTTCAATGAGAAATGCAAGTACACTCACTGACATCATTACAACTTCAAATAAATTGCACATCACAAGGAAATTTTGAAGTTACATTTAGAAAGAGTCAAAGAGCCGACAAAATTATATTATTTAGAAAATATTTACAAAAATATGTTTCTTCTTTTGAGTCAAAGAATCTCAATTCAAAAGGCTCATAACACAATATTGCAAATGGGACAAGCCTGATATGGAGCAATAAAAGAAAAAAGTGAAATTTGGAGAACTTATTTTCAGTCAGTGATTTCAATTATTATTTTTCAGCATCTCTGCATAATATTCAATATGAATTACAGGCAAAATATTAAGTATAGTTCTTACATGGTATGTTAAAACAATGTACAAATTTATTGTTATTATGTTAATGAGCACTGCTCTCTTTACAAAATGTATTTTTGTTACACTTAAACACATAGTGGTAAGAGGTCGCACTGCATGATACATTCAACAAATTCGAAGGTTCTAGCCCTTTTGACTTTGAAAAATATTTACTACAAAAAATATAATCATATCATCACAGGTAACATAATAATTAGATCACATACGTTCCAATTACCCATATATAGTTTTCTATTGATAATGTTAAGAAAATAAAAAATGATTCTTCACTCCAAAAGTATGATGTTGAATGTATTTATAATAAATTATTGTAATGTTAGAGAGAAATTGACATCTTATTAATCAGATTTTATTATTTAAAAAGGGCTTAAATTCACCTAAATCCAAAAAGAATAATGGAACTTATAATTTAATTTTTTCTTTCAAGTTTTTTAAGAGAATTTTTAAAACTGAAACATTTTGTAATCATGAGAAAAATGCTCGCAATTAGCCAGTATCTTTCAAAAATATTTTGTTAGTTGTATTGAGTAAAAGCTCTTTCTGGGATAAGTACAGTGATAAATTGTATTTAATCCCAGATGTGTACATATATTAATTGTTCAGTTTTAATGAACAGAAATTAATGTAAAATAAAAATTAACAAAAAAGAACTCTTGAACTCTTGACTATTATTCATTGAACTTTCTCTCCTTTCTTTTTTTCACTTGAAATTTTCATTTGACCACTTTTTCTTCATCCTCACTTAACAATTTTTCTTCAGTTCTCTTTTTTCCTCCTTTACTGTCGATTTCGTATAGTTTAATTTACAAGAGAAAGAAAAAACTGAGAATGGAATATATTAAAGGCTTAGGAGGGAGAAAAAGCAAGTTAAAAAAAAATAAAAACTTGCAGTAGTAACACATAGATCACGTGCGATCCTTGGTGGTCTGAAGAGGATATTCCAAACAGTTGGTTGTCAGCCTCTCCTTTAAAATCTCTCTGATTTGCCATCACCTCCTTTACAAGTTCTCTCCATCTTGTTCTGTATTGCACCGTATTCATTGCTTCTGTACATGTCAATTTGGTTGCTTTCTGATTTCCTCATGCCATCTCATCTTCTGTCTTCCACGTTTTTGGGTTCCAACCATTATTCCTAACATCATGTCTTTCTCCAAGAAACCCAATCTTGCTGCAATACGACCAAAGAACAAGAGTTTTTGTTCGAGGTCTCTGACTGCTAATGAGCATTCAGGCTTCACTTCTTCTAATGTGGATTTATTTGTTCTTTTATCTGTCCAACAGCTTTTCAGTAGTTTCCTCCAGAACCACCAAAGACTCTTAACATCTTTAAATTCAGATGAAACTAATAATGTTATTATGTACAGAGTTTCAGCTAATAAAGTGTTCTCTGATATTATGTAATAATTAGAGGGTTATAAATCTCTCTGGATTGTATTGTAAGACAAAGTACAAAATCGGATAAATCAAGTTCAGATCAGACAACCTAAATAGCTTGAAGCACAATTTTCAACAAGATTTAAAACTCATTTCACAAAGAAAATGGAACTTCTTACAAGTGCTGTCAACCCTTACCAAACCTGACACCTCAGTACCATTCAACAAAATTCATTCTGAAGGCAACAATATTTCAAGACTTTTGCTACATTAAACATTATTCGTGATGTAGTGAGAAAAAATACAATGCATAGAAAGCAATACAAAACCAATATTTATTTTTTTGTTTTTTACGTGATGATCGTCAAATATATACACTTAACTCTCTATATACTCTTGTACTTAAAATATTGATCATTATTAAAATTAGTGGTTGGGTAACTCAACTCAA